TCATCGGGGTGGCGTTTCCGGCGTCGCTGCAGCGCCTCACGTTCGGCTTCTGCTTCAACCGCCCCGTCAGTCGCGACGGCGTGGGGGTAGCGTTCCCGGCGTCCCTGCAACAGCTGTCGTTCGGGGCCTGCTTCAACCAGCCGGTTAACGACGTCGTGTGGCCGGCGTCCCTGCGGCGGCTGGCGTTCGGCTTCGCCTTCAGGCAGAGCGTGGATGGGTGGGCTTGGCCGGCGGGCCTCACCCACCTTTCGGTCAGTCGTTGGTGCTCGCTCTCCAGGATCGACGTGCCGACTGGGGTGCAGCTCGAGCTCACCTGACAGCCGGAGGGAGACCAGTGTCTCTCTTGGGAGAATCGTATCGTATGTCGTATGCGTCGTGTCGTATCGTGTGTTGTGAAGTTCTCTTTCCTGTTTTTTTGTTTTTTGTTTTGTGCCAAGATGAGGGAGAAAGACCTACGCAGGGATTCTGTCGTGAATGTCTAGTAGAGGGGGATTTCGTATTTGCTTTGGCGGTTGTTGGTAGATCACCCTGCCTGCTGTTGTTGTTGATATATATTCACGTGGTGACATTGAGGTGCCTCCCTTCCTTTCAACGTCTTGAAGAGGCGAGTGGAAGAGTCACGTCTGAAGAGGCCGGGGGGGATAGACGTCCTAGCACTTGAATCGGTGACGCGGCTAGTCGTGGACGAAGCAGCAGTAGTAAGTCGAGTGTGCAACCGTGTCGCAGAGACCACGAAAAGTTAGTGCCAGCTTTTTAGAGCACGGGTTAATCCCCACGTTTACGGTGGTGGATGTTGCTTGGTGTCGCTGAGAGTTCCACGTTGCTCCACACGTAGGCTCGCTCGTGTTGTTTTCGAAAAATAAGCAGGGAAAGGAGGTGGGGTACGGATGTTCTGCTTTGAAAAAGGTTGTAGGTCAGCGGGGGCTCCGTGTATTGCGCGCGGCGTAGAGGGTAGTCGTTACCGGGAATCGCTCCGGGGCGCACAAGGAACAACGCCAGAAGGTGTGTAGAAAGATTGGGACTGTGTGTAATAGCTGTTGGATGGTGTTCCTTATTTGCTTCGAAGTGTAAAATAGCGTGGTACTGAAGCCCATAGAATCAAAGGTGGGCAAAAGCCTAGGCGTGGGTAGGGTTCCGGAAGTAGTTCGGGTTGCCTCAGAGGTTGTAGATATCTCGCGGCAGTCAGAGCTGTTCCTGGAACAGGGAGGTGCTGGGGCTTCTGCCCTCCAGGTCAGTAGAGAGGGGGTTGCGGAGTGCAGATTCAGGAGAGAAAACGGGAAATTTGTTGGAGCCGAAAAGATCATAATACTGAAATGTTGAGTAGGTGTAAGATCTGTTTTGCTGGAGCTGAACAGGGAAGGTATCGAGGTGTTAAGTATGCTGTGTTCTGTTGAAGTTGAACAGGGAAGATGTTTAGGTAGGTGTCGAGTGGGCTTTGTTTTTTCGGGGGCTGATGTTTTGCTTCTACACCACCAGTGTTCACAAGTACCAGGGGGCGTATTGCGCGGCATTTGGTGGGAAAATACCGGTTACGTACGGTGAAGGATGAAATGTTAACGAGCCGGTCGAGCAAGCTGCGCGACTAGCCGGCATGCGTAACTCGCGACATGAATTAGTGATGCAAAGTACGCGTGTTTGCATTCCTTCAATTTGCATCAACCGCGCAAAACCGGCTGACCAATGGATAGGCGTCAGCCTTAACCGGGACAATAAATTCGAACGCGCAGCAGGCTCCCCGGCAAGGAGGGGGGCGGCGGACGAGATTGGATTAGGAAGACCAGCGCGTTCCTTTATTACAACCAAAAATTTGGTTTGAGACTGCGTTCTCCGAACTCCATTCATGTGGGTCGACGAACCTGTTGCCTTGCAAAGAAAACACGCACACCAGGCACTACACAGCAATCAGACAAGACCTGCAGCAATCCAGTTGGAATCGACCCTCCCTGCATTTCCAAGAGAACCTCACCACACAACACACTATCCGTCAAGACGTGTGTGTGCGTGAGTGCGTGCATTGTCGTCCCATCTATCCTCTAGGCGCCATGTGGAGTTTACTTTTTTGGTTGCGTTGGCACCTCATGGAAGTGCCCATGATGGGCTGCCCATAGGGGCACACACAGACGGGGGTAGGCAAGCCTATTGCTATTGGCCAATAGAGAGGATATTTACTTTTTGCCGCCATACACCTCTTTGGCCAAGCAATGTGCCTAGACCACGGAGGAATACGATGTGCCGAGTCGCTCGAAAAGAAACCCGAGACAAAAAGAACACTAACTACTGCTCCGTCGAGACATCCACCACCCCTTACCGTATCCCTTGCAGAAAAAAAACAATTGGGGGCCCTAGACATCGTTAGCATGTGTTCTCATAACTCCTTTACAGACACGCACCGAGAGGGACTACGTAGTTCTGCCGCGCGTAGTTACAGTGGCGCCGCGAAGTGTAACCTGAATGGGGGGTACGCTGTTCCCTGCCTGCCGACAAAAACGCCCGCCCGGAGGGTACTCTACATATCAAGCCGCGAATCCAGAGCCAGGTCTGCACCGAAACGCACACTACCCCGACTACGTAGGTAGGCAGCACAGATTCCACGGTGCCCCCGGCGTTGGCGTCGTGGCTTCATTGCGCCCTCCTTCGTGATTCATTGCACACTGGCCACAGCATGCAATACTACAATGTGAAACAGTAGGCGGCTACAACCAACCGCGGTCTTTGTTCACCCCCATCGTTCAGTCCGAAGTCCAGTCCAGCACACCTATTCACAGTTGGTAAAACGGGCGGTAACACGGACGCGAGCGAGCGCGCGCAAGGCAAGGACGACAACGAAGGAAAGACAGAGTAGTGCGAGAACGCGAGGAGATTGATTTGTAGTAGCAAAGAAGGTAAAGGCAAGCACCACTGCTGTAGGCGGAACTATACGGAAAAAAACAAAAAAAAAATAACCTTCCTCCTGTGTAGGACCCCGGGTGGTGCATCCAACAAACATACTACCCGAAGGTATATCGTACGCCAGACTGGAACTCAGGACGGATGGGACGAAAACTTGCCACACACACACACACTGGACCAAAAACAGAAACGCTCGGGGTATGATAAGTCGAGAAGAACTTGTAGTATGTGCATCGCAGAACTACAGTACCACCGCAATACAGAGTAGTGCGGGTGATGTCACACCCCCTAGACCGACTTTCATGGCTCGATTGCTCCACAGCCCAGAGGCTGATGGCATTGCCGACAAGCTTTGCGCTGGAAAAGGAAAGGGGTCTCGTCGAGAGAGAGAGCATTCCTTGCGGTTGGTTTCCCCGCCCTCTTGGCTGAGGGCGAGGTTTAGAAAGTCGGTCTAGGGGGTGCGCGCTTTACTCTCGCTTTCACGGCACACAGCAGTTCACTTCCGGTGGACACCACGCTGGCGTCCTCGCAACGATGAGAAAGCAAGAAAGGAATATTCGTACGGGCCAGCGGCGTGTTGCGGCAGAGATACGCGGACAGGATAGATGCCGTCATGGTTACGAGCTGTGAACGAGGCTTCTCGGCTGTGGGTGGAAAAATCGTCCCTGTCCTTGGCGGGGTCGATCGTGTCAAGGCCAAGCTTCGGACGAGACAAGGGGAGCTTGGAATTGTGTCACTTTGCAACCGTGATGCATACCTTTGTTTCGACGCAAGAACGGACTTGGTTTGTAGAGATGGCTTCTGGGCGTTAGGTGCGCTCATTCTCGACGAAACTCGATTGCGAGATGTTGGAGGTACAGAAGCCGAAATCAAACCATTAGAGTAGTCAGCGCTGACTAGTCTGGGCTGCCTAGTCTAACGGTTTGATTTCGGCTCCTATAGAGGCGAGGAACGCTCGCTCTCGAATCATGCTGCGCGTCCGCTTCCAATGTGACGCAGTATTCTTCAAGAGGCCTTAGACATAGGTACATTGACATGGGCACCAACAACGATAAGGGCCAGTCCCGCTAACAAGCACGCCGCTACTGCGGTTGTCCTCCTGCAGTCCCCCTTCCTTCCTCGCCAACCAAACGGCAGGTTTACAGGGAAAACATCGCGACTCACTCTGTGCCAGTCTGTGTTGCGCGGCTTTTTCGCGGCGGGTGCCTCCGAAGTTGTAGCGACGTCTGTCTTCGCCGCGGCAGCGAATAACGCCTCTGATTGTACCATCGACAGGTCCTCTCCTTACAAAGCGGAGCATCTGATTCTTGTCCGTTCGTTCCTGCCGTGCGGCTGTTTGTTCCAAGAGGATAAAAGCAGTGACGGAATCAGTCTAGGTTTAGCAGCCAGCTGGCAGGCCCATCTAGTAGCCTAGCCCCTCGAACCTGCACTAGCGGTCGGCCCCTCCTCTGTCCGGACGGGCGGCGGATCTCCACGGGTAGACAAACTCCCCTCGCACGATCCGTTGGGAACAGAACTCCGCCTTTTTTTGCCTTGAATAACCATCAAATATCCCGGCATGCCGGCCGCTCTTGTTTGAGCTTTTGCTGCTGCCACACCTAGTCCCACTGAATGCCGATGATCATCTCCTCGGCATGTGTGCTCGTGCACGCCGACAAAAACGTTGTTTTGGTGCACGTGCGGTGGCGAAAACCACGCTCAAAAGCACTTCGTTCTCCTCGATCTCTTCCGCCTCGTACATGTATGCTACATCTTTTGAACTCGATGTGAAACCTGTGGCAACAGCAGCACGAAACGCCGCGCCCCTGTAACAGAATAGAAGCACGAGCAGAGGCAAAATATTGGTGTGACGCACAGGAGAGACATCAAGAAGTCAGCCTGACAAACGGTCGGCACACCCACCCGCCGCTCGAGCTGCCTGGGGGGGGTACGCAACCAGGACTTTAAATCCTTACGCACCCGTCCGAATCAGGTCTGGGTGGCTCGTGTGGCGGTCTGGGCGGTGCTTCGAACAGCGCGAATGGACACAGCACACAGCAGCGAGGAGGGGAACGGTCAAAGAGGATTGGTGCGCACTGCTTTCTGGTCCAGTGTAGCCTTGCGCAGCCATCATGGCGGGACCGGCAGTAGCGGGAAAGGTCCAGGTCGGCCGCACGTCCAAGTTCAGCGTGCTCGATCCCAAGGGCAGCAAGGTCAAACACGTCGTAGCACCTGCTGCTGCTGCCACTGCTCCCACCGTGGCGGATGAAGGTGAGCGACGACGGCGGGAGAGCGTAGATAGGGATTGTATCAGACATGCCCTTCTACAGCTGCTGCTGCTGCTGTGTTGCGGGTACAGTTGTGCGTCCACAGGAACCGAGTGGAATCTGGCCTCTTTTCTCGAACGGCAGGCTGGAGGGTACGGAACAAACCTCCCGCGAGCCGCACATCGCAACTCCTGTAGGCACTGCTGCTGCTGCTGCTGCTGCCGTGGCGGCAAACCGGTCTTGTCACGTACAGCTTTTTTTGGGATTACTGTAACGGAGCGTAGCTCGTTCGCTGAGTCGGGGTTAAGTTAGGGGTTGTCCTGGTTAGCCGGGTGCCATCTTCTGTTTGCAGGGGCAGCCGTCGGGAATTGCACTCACACAGAAGCAGCGCACCACAGAGAGGGGCACATCGCACCGCCTGGTGGCCCTTATCACTACTACTGTACAACGTGGAATTGGTCTATGTATGCATATACATAGGCGTACTCGTTGATCGCACCCAACCGCAGTGCCAAGAAGAAGCGCTGGGTCCCAGTTTCACAACGACAACACTGCGCAAGCGACCGCTGGAACCTTGTCCCGGCCCTTAAGATCACCGCGATTTCACGGCACCGCGGCACTATTAAAACACTGCTGCAGTACAACACTGCGGTAGCGTGGTCTACAGCCACGAGGACCTTGCGTTGTGGTTCTATCATATGCATACGGGTCCGTAACCTCTCTTTGTTTTATCACGTCTACATAGAACGCAGTCCATGACACATGCGACGAGCGTACAGAGGGCATTCGCCTCGGACGTTGCTGAGTTTTTGCAAGGAGTCTCGCGTCATTTGCCGGAGAGTGCCACCTGTACATCATATGTCCTCTAATAATCCTAACTAATCCTAAGTAAAGAGTAAAGATGGCACACTGAAAAGTGTAGTATATTGTACGTCTCAACACGAAAAATGGCAGGACTGTCGCCATAATAAATACCACTACTGTACTGAGTAGGACGAAACACACACACACACACACTCCGCTCCGTAGACCGGTTATTGCTCCACAACCAAAATCGGTGGAAACATCATCTCGTCGATTGCTTTCTGTGCATGTATCAGACTACCGTATATGACACAAGATAACACACCCCCTGGGCCGATTTTCAAAGCTCGATTTCTCAACAGCAGGAAGAGTCACAGCGCCGAAAACGGCGGCGTTGGAACCGTCTCGTCGAGAGGTTTTCGAAAATGTATTGTTTCGTTTATGCATCCTCTTCGTCGTGGAGTAATCGAGCTTTGAAAATCGGTCCAGGGTGTGTGTTATCTTGTGTCATATACGGTATTTCCCGCACCCGCTTGCTTGAGGAGCAATCGAGCTTTCAAAGTTGGGGGGGGGGGTGCCATCTCTCGCATCCTTACTGCCATGTCCCCACCCTTGCGTACACACAAGTTTAAGCTTGCCTTGCTGCTGTGCGTGTGTTAAGAGTGGTAGCTGCCCGTCGTTCCGCGCGCCAATGGCCAGTCGCCAACAAGGATGGGAAGCGAGAAAGCAAGACGCGGCTGACGGAGTCCACGGGGAAGCTGATCGAAGAGGGGAGGGGAAACATCGGCGGCGACTTCACACTGCAGGCGAGAGAGCATGCTCGAAGCTCGTAGAATACCACAACACTTTTGAGTTCGCGCGCATGGTACATGCACTTGGAAATTTCGTGGAGTTGGTGCACAGCAGCATTACTACTACCATGTTTTACGAAACGGTTTGTTTGTTTGGAGGAGGCCCAGCCGCTGGAGGAGAATGCTCGAAACACACACTTTTGCTTTCGCGCGCGTGATACTCTCGGAAATTTCGTGCGTATGGACACCAGTACCACGATGTTTTACCCAAAATATGCATCGAATCACAGATATGATTACCCGTTCGAGATAACACCAAACAGAAAGGGGATACAATATTGTGTTGAAGTCTTTGCAGTGAGTGGGAGAAAAACGGCTGGTGCTGCTGATTGCGAAACGTTTTTTTTGTTTGAAGGAGACCCAGTCGCTGGTGACGAGCACTGCTGCTGCTGCTGTAGTAGTAAGCAGGCGGCAACGCTCTTGATGTGGGCGTTGCGGGCAACGACTGCTACTGTCCGATGGAGTTTTGGAACCAGGCGTGTGCCGGGTACTGTAGCCGGTGTTTTAAGCGGACACAGACTGAATCACCAAGTTAATCAGCAGCAGTACGTTGTAGCGCCGGTCCCTCTGAATAACACCGGTCGATTTGCCGGGCACACAAAAGCGCTAGCTCGTGTGTACCCAGAGGAAAGAGAGTGCTGCACTCTTGTCTCGCATTAGTAGTCGAAGGCAACATACTGCAGGAGGGGTGGGTAGGGAGGAACCCTTCTGTATGACCACGGGTTGGAGTAACACGACAGAAAAGTGCTGTGTGCGCTTTCTTGAAGTGAAGACAAGAAGAAAAAAAATGGTAGAATATACCGGCACAGGTGACGGTCCCCCACTCTACTCAACTCCGATATTGATCATCGCGTGTGCTCGGTTCGTGCACCACGCTTTGAACAGTAGGTGACACACTCAAAAAAGTATCAAATATCTCACCCCCTGGGATGATTTTCACAGGACGATTTTCAAGTTTGGTTGCTATACGAAGAAGATGTTAAATCTCAAAACGATACGTTTTCGGAAAGCTGTCGACGAGACGAGTTCCAACGCCGCCATTTTCAGAACACCGCCGCCGCGCTTTCTGCCGTGGAGCAATCGAGCTTTGAAAATCGGTCCAAAAAGGGTGTGTGGTACGTTGTATCCCTCTCTCCGACGATCCCCCCTCGCCTTGAGAAGTTTGTGTATGCTATGATGGCAGGGTAGCCGTCTTGATTTTTTGGTTGTACCTTCCCCCTTTCGTACATCCCACTCTGGGCTCCGCTTGCTTCGCTGTAGTTCTCATGCTTGTTGCTTGTGCTTGCCCTCCATCATCTTGCTGCTGCTGCTGCTGCTGCTGCTGCTGCTGCTGCTGCGGCTGCTGCTGTTGCTGGGATCGATTCCGCGACGACAAACAGGGCAACCCTAAGTTCCTCAAGGAACGGTCCGCCAAGTTCGACGCCATCGCCGCCAGGCAAAAGGAGCGACTCGCCCAGAAGCCCAAGCTGGAGATCAGCGTGGTTCTCCCCGACGGGACCGAAAAGAAGGGGGTCTCGTACGAGACCACTCCCATGGACATCGCGAAGGTGCGCGCGCGGGGTCACGGCACTTGGGTTGGTTGATGGGGCCGCCTCCGCGAGAAATGAAGTTTTTTTTAGGGAATAGAACTGGGAGGGGGGTACGCAGACCCTATTCCCTAACCCTAACCCACTTGCCCGATTTTATGCTTTACCCCAACATGTTTATCTAGTTTATTGTATAGGAAAACCTTGCGAAGGGTACGGGGTTGGTGTCTGAGGTTTCATTGGACCTTTTTGTTCCTCAGTGTGCTCATGTTTTCGCACTTGAATACGCGCAAGGACTTTTTTGTTCCAGTAGCCTGTGCAAGGAATATAAGCTTTGGTTTTTAGTGGGTGGGGTTGGGGTTAGGGATGGGGATACGAAGCCCCCCTCTCTATTCTACTTCTACGGATGAATCTTGAAATCCTCGCCAAGGCGGTCCCTTAGTTCACCAGAGAGGTATGTAGTATTTCACGGGCAAAGTTTTGGAGAACTTTTGCGCAAATCCCATCTTAAAACTAAATAGAAATTAAAAAAAATTAATAGTTTCAAATTTTTCTAGTTCAAATAAAAAATATATATGGCGAAAAAACTAGTTTAATAAATCTTGCTTTATCTGCAGGTAAAGCTGTTCATGTAGATGCAATTGTCGTCGGTGGTAGAGTGTGCAGGTTCTCACCGAAACCTTGCCCTCACCCAGTCTCCGGTCATCCCTGACTCGACATGCCCTGTCCTTGCGAAACCCTCATTGGTTATTGTCGGGGAACCTTTTTTTTTCTGTATTTTTTACACGTTCTGGCTGTTGCTCTTTTTTGTTTTTTCTTCTTGCTCTCGCGGCATCATTATCCCGTCCCTGCTTCTTTCTATTTTTTTTCGTCAGGGCATCAGCAAGAACCTCGCGAAGGAGGTGGTCGTGGCGGAAGTTCGGTGAGACTTGGTTGACGTTCGTCGAGCTTGTCCTTGCTGCCGTCGTTTTCATGGTCATCTTCGTGGTGGCTGTTATTGCTGGTTTTTATTTTGTATTAATGTTGGACTACCAACTGCTCTTGACCCGTCGAGGTGACTTTCTTCGCTCGTGCCGTATTGAAGGGGCTCCGCGAGCTTCGTTGCTCCTTTGCGGGTTTTCCTCTCTCAAGTTCGTGCATAGCCACAGCAAAAAAAAGCATGGTACCCGTCATGCATATGCATTGCCGATAATTCACCCCGCTGCTGCTGCTGCTGCTGCTGCTGCTGCTGCTGCTGTTGGTACCTGCATGCATGGCGACGATTCGCCTGCTGCTGTCGTTGTCGCCAAACCAGACATCAATAAAGCTGGTACTGCTGCATGCATACGTGCAAATCGTTAACAATTCTCCTCCTGCTGTTGTCGCCATTGCAGATACTCGTCTCGGATCGAGGACGACGAGCAGAACGTGTCGAGCGCGGACGGCATGGAGGCCGAAGGTAGTGACGAGGAAGAGGAGGGGGGGGGGTGCGGGCACGACCACGGGGATAAGGAAGACGCGTCGGCGGAGCTCTGGGACATGCTGCGACCGCTCATCGGAAACTGCCGGCTGCGCCTGCTCAAGTTTGAGGACAAGGAAGCCCAGGTGCGAACCGAAACGCCTTCTTCCCGGGGGATCGGAGGTGCTGTGGGGGGGTGGGGGGAGGGCGACGTGGCTTGGGGTTGATTTTGGGAGTGATGGTGGTTGCCCTCGAGTTGAAGTTGTTGTGATGCGGTGGGATCGAGTGATGATATTTTGATTATGTTTGTGTCTGTTGGCCCCTCTGGTTTTATTAAATAGATGCTTATCGAGAGTCTGAAAACCGGGGCGTTTGTCATGTCAACTGCATGACGTGATCGTTTGGTGCGTGTTGTTCCGTGTGTGTGGGGGTGGTCAAGCTCCGAGGGAATTTGCGGCATATTGCATGGCGCATCATCGCGAAAACGAGAGGAATGAAGTGGGACAGGGCCAGAAGCAAAGAAATACGTAGACAGATAGTAAGGACAGGCAGACACGGGAAGGGAGGGGAAGGGGTAGTGCATCACCCCCGTGTACTCCCTGATGTTTTCCATCTCCAGTTTGACGGGGATCCCTTGCCGTCATCATTACAACGCGACTGGCTGGTTATTTTTTTTCCTGATTTTAGCACAACGAATTAATCTCTTATCAACAGATAGAAGAGTTCAGGATACATTTGCAATGAATTCGTAACGTTAGCTGCTTTTGCTTCTGCTGTGGACGTCGCGGTTGACCCAGCTTGGTGACGTCAATATTCCCTGTCGGTAGTGCGCTGCTTTCTGAACCTCTTTTTTTCGCCGGGGGGGGGGGGGGGGGGGGGTTTTACAACTTTTGAAACCCCCCCTTTTTCGGAATCCTGTCCCCCAAAAAAGCTTGGCCACATTTTTTTTTCTTTTTTTTGGGGGGGGGGGATCGGCAAAAGGTATTTTGGGCCCCCCCCGCCCCCTGCCGGGGGTTCCCGTTGGAAAAAAAATTTGGCTGCCCCCCCCCCCCCGGACCCCCTGTCAAAAAAGGATTTTTCTACCAATGGTAAATGGGGGGGAGGGGAACGAAAAAAAACAAGGGGGGGGGGGGGGACACCCCCTGTCCCCCCTTGGGGTTGGGGAAAAGGCCCCCATGTCTTTTTTTGGCCGGAATGCGTAACGGCTGTTGTTTTTACAACCCCGGGGGGCCCCTTTTTTTTTTTTTTACCGGTTTTTTTTTTTCAAAAGGAAAAAAAAACCCTATCAAATTTTTTAAGGGGGAATCCTT